ATGCTGAAGAAACTGTATGATAATAGCTTAATAAACGATACAGTTTATTACAGTTTTTTACAGTTACCATTTGCGTGGACAGGTGGAGTCCCCAGATCCCGGGCGCCCCCCCCGTCATGTGGAATAACGACTCAAGACAACGTGCTATGGGATTAAATTGGCCACAACTTTATTAAATTTCAAATGTGCGTAGACCTTGGCTCAGGCATTGGGCGTTCTCCCTCCCCAGTCCCCAGCCGGGGACCTAGGGAGCATCAGGGTTATCCAGTGTTTGTGTGGGGGATGGGCTGGCTCTGGAGAGCATATGTTCAAGCAGAGATAGCCGCCCCCGTTACGCCGCCGCTGCAGGGGAGAGCAATGACGACCTTTCGGAGTACAGTCAAAGCCTCCCTTCAGAAACCCCTTTAACGGGGAACCCTGGTATTGCCGCTGCAAAGAGGAAGATGGACAAAAGGATTCCGTCCAAGGCCTGATACCGCCAAAGTTGTGACGTTTTGCTACGGGAAAGGCGAAACTGCCAATGCAGGGAAATTCCTTTCCGGCCCTTTGACAGCGACCTTAACGTAGCAGCGCCCGTATACCTGTGAAGAAAAGTTAACGTGCAAAATAAGGCATTAACTGAGGGTGGGTAGGGTGGGAGAAGCTCTGGAGCCAAGTGAGGATTCCCAGGTAAGATCCTCCCTCTATTGTGTGGGCAGGTAATCCCTCCCCTACCTGGCCTGATCTCCTTGGCAACTCTTCCCCCAGGTGGGATTGGACAACTGACTGGGGTAGGCGGAGACCTCCAGGTATCCCACCTGAGGGAAGACAAAGCCAAGCCTATGCTGATGGAGCCGCTCCAGATCCAGGGGCTGCGCGCGTCCACGCAAAGGTCACCCCCCGTTTTATGCGGGGAGCGGTCATTAATAACACCCTCGTTCAGTAGCATACCAGAAACGCAACAACAAAGAAAGCCAAAATCAAGCCTGCTTTTAAATGATAGTTGCACTGCGTAAAGCTGACATTCTGCTGATAAAAACTGAATTTTTAGTTGATTAATCTACCCAATGGAGAAGGATAGAATTCTAAAGATAAAGGCAAACTGCTTCTTGAATTCAAATACATAAGTATAAATATAGCATAAATATGGGAAATAGTTTTTTCTATGTAGTAAAATATTGTGTATAGTATAATTATAATGATTTTTTAACATGCATTTTGCTGTGTGTGTGTGTGTGTGTGTGTGTAAAAAGTAAAAGGATTTAATCAAGGTTGTTTTGAACTTTTAAAACAAAGAAAGAAATATGATGATCAGGATCTCAAAGGCATTGAAACATACAATACTTTCTGTGCCAGGAGGAAGAAATAGACAGTGTTTGGGGGCATTAAACTCTCAATGAACCACAGATGATGCTTGCTAGAGCTGAGTCACAGCAGTGGAGTCAGGAATGATTACAAACATAATTAGCCATTTTTTATTTTTACTTTTTGGGGGCAGAATGTCTTCTGAAGCAAATGATGTTGTTGTGACTCACTGAACAGTTTAGTGTGTAAGGAGAAGAAGATCTGGGGAAAGTATGGATTGCAATCGGCATTTGTCATTATTATTGTTGTTGTTTGCCACCATCGGATTGTTTTGGGTGATAATGAACGTCTTGAACGAAATTACAGAGCAAGTTTGCATGGATTTGTTCCTTCTCAAAGTGCTTATGTCTCATTCTGTTTCTTTACTCAGTGATCCTCCTTCCTTCTAATGCTGAAGCTATCAGGGCTGTGTGTCCTGTATTTACACAAGTAGGGCAGAAAAGTCAAAGCAACTGGTATCACCCTTAATATCATGAGTATTTTTGCTCTCTATATTTAAAGCAATTTTTAGACCCTCCTGCAAAGATTGATTTACACTGTGAAATATCTGAAGCTGTAGGATTTCCGGTGCTCAGGAATTTCATACACTCAATCTGTCTTCATTTCCTAATATTTTAAATTTCCATTACATATCCCTGGTAAATCGCTCTCACTTTGCTGTCTGTTTTTGCCTTGGAGGGGAGGAGTGCGCCCTGCTAAAATGCAGATAAGTGTGATTCCTACCGTTGTAATCCTTACTTATTTTAATTCCATTTCCGAATTGCTTTCCATAAAATATCTCTGTGCGATTTCAGAGTCAAAAGCCCAACTAATAAAACCAATCCCATATGCCAAAAAACCCAGCAACAATTAAAACCAATTTCATATGTAAACACTGTTACAAATCCAACGCAGATATAGGATGGGAGAAATATTTCACTTAAGTAGCTTGGTGGGAAAAGAAAGGTCATCAACAGGCGACAAAAATACTGTATAGACAGTGCCTGGTTGACACACAACAAAAGAGAGTTTCAAAGAGTTGGTGACTCCACACTAAAGTCCAGATTCCATATTGCATGGAAGGGATCATTTGATGACCATAGTAATGAATAGAGGGCTATTGCACAACCCTTCACTGCCCTGGTCTCTAGAAGTTTTTTACTAACAACTCAGACCCATTGGTTGATCTAGCCTACTTCCTAGGTGCACTCCTATCTGTTAAAAAGGAATGGGCCAGATCACATATGGTTGGCTGCCAATACGATCTAGAGCAAAGAAAGTGGGCCGCTGGTTGCCAATTCTGAGTGGAAAGTACTGGGACAAATTACAAATATATGTAGAAATATACTTTCTTTTTGTAATGCACTGTTGTCCATGAGGGGTGTTAGGGGAGCAGTTGGAGGATGGATGGTGGCTAACAGACTGAGGTTGAATCCTGACAAGACAAACGTACTGTTTTGGAGGGACAGGAGGCGGGCAGGTGTGGAGGACTCCCTGGTCCTGAATGGGGTAACTGTGTCCCTGAAGGACCGGGTGCACAGCCTGGGAGTCATTTTGGACCCACAGTTGTCCATGAAGGTGCAGGTTAATTCTGTGTCCAGGGCAGCTGTCCACTTGTTCCATCTGGTACACAGGCTGAGACCTTACCTGCCCGCAGACTGTCTCACCAGAGTGGTGCTTGCTCTAGCTATCTCCCGCTTGGACTACTGCAATGCACTCTATGTGGGGCTACCTTTGAAGCTGACCTGGAAACTACAACTATTCCAAAATGCAGCAGCTAGACTGGTGACTGGGAGTGGCCGCCGAGACCATATAGCACCGGTCCTGAAAGACCTTCATTGGCTCCCAGTATGTTTCTGAGCACAATTCAAAGTGTTGGTGCTGACTTTTAAAGCCCTAAATGGCCTTGGCCCAGTATACCTGAGGGAGTGTCTCCACCCTCATTGTTCAGCCCGGACACTGAGGTCCAGCTCCAAGGGCCTTCTGGTTGTTCCCTCACTGTGAGAAGCCAAGTTACAGGGAACCAGGCAGAGGGCCTTCTTGGTGGTGACGCTCACCCTGTGGAACGCCCTCCCATCTGATGTCAAGGAAATAAACTATCTGACTTTTAGAAAACATCTGAAGGCTGCCCTGTTTAGGGAGGTTTTAAATGTTTGATGTTTTATTGTGTTTGTAATACTCTATTGAGAGCTGCCCAGAGTGGCTGGGGAGGCCCGGCGAGATGGGTGGGGTATAAGTAATAAATTATTATTATTATTATTATTATTATTATTATTATTATTATTGGATGGGGGACACGTTGTGCTTCTTCTGGAGTAGTTTGGCCCCCTTTGGTCCCCACCCTGCACTCAACTCTCACCTTTGGCTCCTAGAAGCTGTAAACATGTGACAGCAGCCACACCCCAGGAAATGGCTTCGACAGGCCAGCTAAACCAGGTGACTGTTGGGTCTCAAAACCCTTGGTGAGTTGGGGACTTCCCCTGCATGCAAAAGACAGGCTATGGCGCAACTGAGTAGACGAAACGAAGAGTGGGTCCAACAGTCAAGAAGGTGGTTTCTGCACATGAGGAAGAGTCAAGTGAGGGGCAGATGGGTGGTCCACTTTAGGGACCCTAGGGAGGCTACAGAAAATTAAATACAGTTGTCAGGGTGGTGCAGGGGCTTCTGGCTTGTTGCCCAAGAAGGTATAAAGACAAGGAAAAGTTTCTTACAATCCTTTTTTTATTTCAGACTTTACAGAGAGAGGCTATAGAACCCAGCCTCTTGGATAATGGCTTTGTCCCGAGTGAATCTCCACCCCTGTCTCTCTCACTTCATCATCCATCATCATCATCATCATCATCTCCTCTATGGGTTCTGCTAACCTGTCTTTGAGCTCTTTCCTCTCCTACTTTTAAGGCTCGCTGGAACCCAGCCTCTTGGATAATGGCTTTGTGCCGAGTGACTCTCCACCTCCCGTCTCTCTCACTTCCTCATTCGTCATCACCATCATCTCCTCCTCTATGGGTGCTGCCCTCTGTCTTTGAGTGCTTTGCTCTCCTACTTTTAAGGCTTACTGGGTTCTGGGAGATAGTGGGTCTGGAATGCTTTCTACTGACAATGTGTCAGTCAGCTGCTGCTCTGGCTCTGCCTGCTCCTTTTCTCCCATTATTTCCCAACTTTCTCCTCCATCTGCCTCTGAGCTGAGACCTTCCTCAAACCACTGTTGTAAATCTATACTCCTCCCCCTCTGCCCAGTTACTGACAACAGTATTAATTTTTTTAATAAATTGGGCAGAACACAGAGGAACTGCGGCATCAGCCGTACCACTGCTGAGGGTTATTCTGTTTTATCATGTTCCAGGTTTATGCTCTTCTCATTAAATCTAAAATTGGTTCATCACCCCCTCTCTCAAGCATCTTTGCTGTACGCCTCCTTCCCCTCTCCCACCTCCAAATTGGTAAAATAAATATTAACTTGTTCCTTTCCCCCTAATTTAGTGCTCTGACACATACATGGAGATGCATATCATATAAATAGCTCTTTATTACGGCATGTCTGAGATTTTGCTCTGTGCTTGTGACTGGAACATTTGCTGTGCATTCATCAGGCCAGGAGGAAGACAATGAACGGAATATTGGATTTTGCTCAGGACAGAAGAGCCTGCACAACTAACTGGTGACCCACTAGCAAAGGGGTCATAGCTCGGTGGTAGAACATCTGCTTCGCATGCTGATGGTCCCAGGTTCAATATTTGGCACCTCCAGGTAGGAATAAATGAGGCTCTTGTCTGAAACCTGATTCAGTATAAGGCAGTTAGCACATTTGGAAGCTAAGCAGGGGCTGCTATGGTTTCAAAGTGGATGGGAGACCGCATGTTGAGATCCCTGCATTGCAGAGAGTTGGACTAGATGACTCTTGAGGTTCATTCCAAATCAATGATTCTATGTCCCAAGGACTATTAGATTTTAGATCCCCAGTGTTTCCGGGGCTCCTCAACCACCAAAGAAGCTCACAAATGTTGAGGAGAGAGCATGGCGGCCACATGCTGTACTTTTACAGTCTTCTATTTGGTAGGTGAAAGGGATGCGGGTGGCGTTGTGGGTAAAACCTCAGTGCCTAGGACTTGCCGATCGCATGGTCGGCGGTTCGAATCCCCGCGGCGGGGTGAGCTCCCGTCTTTCGGTCCCAGCTCCTGCTTTATAGCGGTAAGGTAAACGGCGTTTCCGTGTGGTGCGCTGGTGCTGGCTCGCCAGAGCAGCTTCGTCACGCTGGCCACGTGACCCGGAAGTGTCTTTGGACAGCGCTGGCTCCCGGCCTCTTAAGTGAGATGAGCGCACAACCCTAGAGTCGGACACGACTGGCCCATATGGGCAGGGGTACCTTTACCTTTACCTTTTATTTGGTAGGTAAAAGCGACACGGGTGGCGCTGTGGGTTAAACCACAGAGCCTAGGGCTTGCCAATCAGAAGGTCGGCGGTTTGAATCCCTGCAACGGGGTGAGCTCCCGTTGCTCTGTCCCAGCTCCTGCCAACCTAGCAGTTCGAAAGCACGTCAACGTGCAAGTAGATAAATAGGTACCACTCCGGCGGGAAGGTAAACGGCGTTTCTGTGCGCTGCTCTGGTTTGCCAGAAGTGGCTTAGTCATGCTGGCCACATGACCCGGAAGCTGCACGCCGGCTCCCTTGGCCAGTAAAGCGAGATGAGCACAGCAACCCCAGAGTCGTCCGTGACTGGACCTAACGGTCAGGGGTCCCTTTACCTTTATTTGGTAAGTTGTCCTCTGTTTGAAGGACTAAGGCTACTATAAGACTTCAGATTAGGAGCTCAAAGGGCAAACACTTCCTGTTCAAAAAGCCAGATCCCGTTTTCAAGGTGGCTCAGGCAGGGGCAGAGGAAAGGGGGTGTGGTGGGTGCGTCTGCCCCGGGTGTCACCACTGAGGGGGGTGACAAAATGCCGGGCAGCACTCACTGCAGGGCCTGCAGCTCGCCTGAGCCACGGGTCTCTCCTGGGAGAGCCGCGGTGGCTTGGGTGCACTCAGGCTCCGTGCTCGCCAAACAGTCCGCCCACTGCCTCCACCCCAGCTGTAGGGCAACTGAGTGGGAGAAGCCAGGCAGATTCCAGAGGCCCTGCCCCTATGGGCGGCTCGCCCCGCCCCTGGGCGCGCTGCCCCATGTGCCCAAGTGGCTTCCTCCTCCACTAGGCTCACATTGTTTTGAGCTAGTCTGGACACCCTTTCTCAGCCTTCTACGTCTTCAGGTAAGAACATAAGAAATTAAGAAGAGTTCTGCTGGAGCATACCAGTGACCCATCTAGACCAAAATCTGATACTCACAGTGGCCAATCAGTTGCCCAAGGCAAGCTCACCAGCAGGACCTGGGTATAGCAACCCTTAATCTGGGTACCCCCATTCATGGATCACTAACTTGCCGTGGCAAAGGGGCTTGAATAACTCAGAGAAGCTATGAGCTATGCCGTGCAGGGCCACCCAAGATGGACAGGTCATAGTGGAGAGTTTTGACCAAAAGTGATCCACCTGGAGCAGGAACCGGTAAGCCACTCCAGTATCCCTGCCAAGAAAACTCCATGGACAAAGACAACAGGCATATGAAAGTTATGACGCTGGAAGATGAGCCCCTCAGGTCGGAAGGCGTCCAACATGCTACTGAGGAAGAGCAGAGGACAAGTACAAGTAGATTCAGAGCTGATGAAGCGGCTGGGCCAAAACCGAAAGGACGCTCAGTTGCGGATATAAGGAGTGTGGTGGAGTCTCCTTCTTTGGAGGTCTTTAAGCAGAGGCTTGACAACCATATGTCAGGAGTGCTCTGATGGTGTTTCCTGCTTGGCAGGGGGTTGGACTCGATGGCCCTTGTGGTCTCTTCCAACTCTATGATTCTATGATTCTATGATTCTATATGCCTGGAAGCGAAAGGAAAGTCCAATGCTGTAAAGAAAAATATTGCATAGGAACCTGGAATGTAAGAACCATGAACCTTGGTAAGTTGGATGTGGTCAAAAACGAGATGGCAAGAATAAATATTGACATCCTGGGCATCACTGAACTAAAATGGACGGGAATGGGCGAATTCAGTTCGGATGACCATCATATCTACTACTGTGGGCAAGAATCCTGTAAAAGAAATGGAGTGGCCCTCATAGTCAACAAAAGAGTGGCAAAAGCTGTACTGGTATGCGATCTCAAAAATGATAGAATGATCTTGATACGAATCCAAGGCAGACCTTATACATCACAGTAATCCAAGTTTATGCACCAACTGGTGCATGCACTGGTGCTGAAGAAACTGAAATTGAGCAATTCTATGAAGACTTACAACACCTTATAGAAATGACACCAAAGAAGGATGTTCTTCTCATTATAGGGGATTGGAATGCTAAAGTAGGGAGTCAAGAGATAAAAGGAACAACTGGCAAGTTTGGCCTTGGAGTTCAAAACGAAGCAGGGCAAAGGCTAATAGAGTTCTGCCAAGAGAACAAGCTGGTCATCACAAACACTCTTTTCCAACAACACAAGAGACGACTCTACACATGGACATCACCAGATGGGCAGCATCGAAATCAGATTGATTATATTCTCTGCAGCCGAAGATGGAGAAGCTCTATACAGTCAGCAAAAACAAGACCTGGAGCTGACTGTGGCTCAGATCATCAGCTTCTTATAGCAAAATTCAAGCTTAAACTGAAGAAAGTAGGAAAAACCACTGGGCCGGTAAGATACAATCTAAGTCAAATCCCTTATGAATACACAGTGGAAGTGAGGAACAGGTTTAAGGATTTAGATTTGGTGGACAGAGTGCTTGAAGAACTATGGATGGAGGCTCGTAACATTATACAGGAGGCAGCAACTAAAATCATCCCAATGAAAAGGAAATGCAAGAAAGCAAAGTGGCTGTCCAACGAGGCCTTACAAATAGCGGGGGAGAGAAGGCAAGCAAAATGTAAGGGAGATAGTGGAAGATACAGGAAATTGAATGCAGATTTCCAAAAAATAGCAAGGAGAGACAAGAAGGCCTTCTTAAATGAGCAATGCAAAGAAATAGAGGAAAACAATAGAATGGGAAAAACCAGAGATCTGTTCAAGAAAATTGGAGATATGAAAGGAACATTTCGTACAAAGATTACCATAATAAAAGACAAAAGTGGAAAGGACCTAACAGAAGCAGAAGACATCAAGAAGAGGTGGCAAGAATACACAGAGGAACTATACCAGAAAGAAATGGATGTCTCGTATACCCCAGATAGTGTGGTTGCTGACCTTAAGCCAGACATCCTGGAGAGTGAAGTCAAATGGGCCTTAGAAAGCACTGCTAATAACAAGGCCAGTGGAAGTGATGATATTGCAGCTGAACTATTTAAAATATTAAAAGATGATGCTGTTAAGGTGCTACACTCAATATGCCAGCAAATTTGGAAAACTCAGCAGTGGCCAGAGGATTGGAGAAGATCAGTCTACATCCCAATCCCCAAGAAGGGCCGTGTCAAAGAATGCTCCAACTACCGCACAATTGCACTCATTTCACATGCTAGCAAGGTTATGCTTAAAATTCTACAAGGCAGGCTTAAGCAGTATGTGGATCGAGAACTCCCAGAAGTGCAAGCTGGATTTCGAAGGGGCAGAGGAACCAGAGACCAAATTGCAAACATGCGCTGGATTATGGAGAAAGCTAGAGAGTTCCAGAAAGACATCTACTTCTGCTTCATTGACTATGCAAAAGCCTTTGACTGTGTCGACCACAGCAAACTATGGCAAGTTCTTAAAGAAATGGGAGTGCCTGATCACCTCATCTGTCTCCTGAGAAATCTCTATGTGGGACAAGAAGCTACAGTTAGAACTGGATATGGAACAACTGATTGGTTCAAAATTGGGAAAGGAGTACGGCAAGGCTGTATATTGTCTCCCTGCTTATTTAACTTATATGCAGAATTCATCATGCGAAAGGCTGGGCTGGATGAATCCCAAGCCGGAATTAAGATCGCCGGAAAAATATCAACCACCACAGATATGCAGATGACACAACCTTGATGGCAGAAAGTGAAGAGGAATTAAAGAACCTTTTAATGAGGGTGAAAGAGGAGAGCGCAAAATATGGTCTGAAGCTCAACATCAAAAAAACGAAGATCATGGCCACTGGGCCCATCACCTCCTGGCAATTAGAAGGGGAAGAAATGGAGGCAGATAGAGATTTTACTTTCTTAGGCTCCATGATCACTGCAGATGGTGACAGCAGTCACGAAATTGAAAGACGCCTGCTCCTTGGGAGAAAGGCGATGGCAAAGCTAGACAGCATCTTAAAAAGCAGAGACATCACCTTGCCAACAAAGGTCCGTATACTTAAAGCCATGGTTTTCCCAGTAGTGATGTATGGAAGTGAGAGCTGGACCATAAAAAAGGCTGATCGCCGAAGAACTGTTGCACCGCCGCCATGTGATTTCTGTTCTCATCCTGAAGCAAAGTTCTTAACCTGAGGTACTATTTCTGGGTTAGTGGAGTCTGTAACCTGAAGTGTATGTAACCTGAAGTGTATGTAACCCGAGGTACCACTGTACAGTCAAACTGAAATAATTATTTGCAAATTATTTTGCTTACCAAAAAAAAGCCTTCAAGTTCTTTTAGGGCTGGTGTGTAGTACAGTGGACAGTGTCAAATTATGAAGTCCCCCCCTCCCTTTCAAAAGTTGTCTCTGCAGCCTAAACTCACTACATGCTGCACCAGTAATGCAGACTGGCCACCCTTAGATCTTTAGCCCCCATTTAAAA